AAACGTCTGCGTTAACGCCAAACAGTTTCCTTAAATCTAGAGGCTAAATCACTTAAAATAATGACTGTAATATACCTGTGACATAGGAGTATCTCAAATACTCCTGTGACGTGTACTTGCTTCAGCTGAAGCACAGGTAAATAAAGTAACTCCAGCTGAAGCACGGGTAAATAAAGTACATTTTCAAGAAAAAAAACTTGGTGTTGCATGGGAAAAAAACACATTTCAACCCAAGTCGTCCTAATTTTCACGTCACCCGTTTCCTTTACATTGATAACTGGTCCACTTCCAATTCCCTCTGGCGGGATTGGGTTCAGGACACCCGTAATTCTTGACACGGTGGGAAGAGCAGCGTGGTCTCTGTCATGATGCAAAAAAACTCAAGAATACGGCAAGAACCTCAGAGGACGTACGTCACGCTCTGACTGGAGAGACGGCGCCTCAGCGGCAGGACTCGTGACAGCCAACCTGCCATTCTCCATCTTTGACTTTTTTTTTTTTTTCTACCAGTGAAACAAAGGCTTTTCTCTTCCAGCTCCCTCTCATCCTCCCATCCTTCCTTCTTGCCTGCGGGGCCGCTCATGGCCCCCCAGACGCTTACAGACAGATGTCCTTGGTAGAGCAGAACACGCTCTGCTTGACGTCACAAGCAGCTCCGGGCTCGTGAAGGAAGCTTAAGGGCTCTGTGCCCTGCTAAGACCACAACATAAAAGCCAGGCCGCGGCTGTCTGACGTAACGCCCCCTGCCCCCACCCCTCCCCCCCATCAGCTCTGGTCCAACAAGTCACAGCAGGGAACCTCACAGACGTGACATATGTCACTTTGGCAAATCCTTTATTCTCTCCAGAGAGTTCATAGATTTTAAGCAAAGGTACATGGGCCCCTTCACATTTTAGATGTCGATTTCTGGGATACAATCGTCCTCAGAAATGTTCAGACATAAAGTCAAAACAAATGTTTTTATTTTATTTGACTATTATGACTAACAGCAGTGTTTGAGAAACACACGAGTTTTCACTTTCTGTTCTAGAATCTCACCGTTTAACAACCAAAAGAAATAACTTAATATCTATCCATTTCTCTTCTCTTCTTTTTCTCCAAGATTCTATTTCAAATTTCATACTTTTTAAGGACTCTTCAATATTTGTCTCTAAAAGAAAACGCCACCGTTTCACACCGCAGGCCTTAGGTTTGAACACCAAAACGATCTCCTGACGTGAAAGTGCGCGGACGTTT